GGCTCTAAGTCAGTTACTGATTAATAATATCCTTAGAATCAGAGAAAACCATTTTTACATCCTATCAAATGAGAATGGCTGGCCAGTTTTCTTTTTGACCAGTCTTTGGTGTCTCTGGAAGGTGTCAATTTGTAAAGGTTAACAGAAGACTGAAGGATGTAAGCATTACTGCAGGTGATCACCAGAACAATCCAAGTGGTTAGCAAAAGTACACCTGGTTTAAAGCTGTGTGCTGTAATGCCTTGCCAGGTGACCTGGATGCAAATAATTCACTGTGAGATTATGTGTGCTTGTCTCACTGTCTGTATTTCTACATGATATTTCCTGAACTATTTATGAGTTCTGTGTAACTGCTTTTGTCTGCTGAATCTGAATGTCAGGTTTCACAAAGTGGCAGAGTGCATAGGAAGGTGGCAGTGGGAGATTTGCAGCTGTACCTTAATTCAGGGTGAAGGGATGCTGGCAGATGGGGAACCACCTTGTGCCCGCTGCAGCTGCAAGTGAATACTAGCTTAAAAATCCCATTCTCACTTAATATTTCTCCTTTTCCCAGTTACTGCTATGTGGGGAAGAACGACTGCAGGAAGTAAAATGGATGAAAACACAAAGCAGCCACTTTGCTTTGCTCTTTCAGAACAGACATGGAGCTGGTTACTGCACGTAGCCCAGACTCAAACCTTGGCCAGGCCCTCTTCAGAGATAACCCTCACTGTTCCTGCAGACCTTGCGCTTAGGGCTGTCAAGAAGCAAAACTGTCAGACCTTAACCTGCCTCATTTAACAGCTTCTCTGGCAGCCCTTCCCTGCATCCTCCTTCAATCTTCATTAAAAATGAGCCAACAATGTAAAAGACAATTGTAATGGTTTTAATTAAAGGCTTTACATACTTCAGGTGTTGCTGATCAAGCAGTAGATTCACAGTGTTCATAAGGCAAAAACCTCCCTCTGCTCCCCCATCCCTTCCCCACTCATTTTGCAAGCAGTGGTTGTGCTCAATGCCCTTTTCCATGCGTAGTTCTGTAAGGCTGTTATGCTAAACCATAACATTGTTCTCTACAGCAAGAGAGAGGTGCCAAACTAAGTCCAGTATGCTGAAGTGCTGAATCCATAAACTTTATACATCAGTGCAAAAGAAACGCGTTCTGTTTCTACTGAGAACATGCACATCTAGACAGAAGTGCACAATTAAGTACAGCTGAATGAGCTGCAGGTTAAACAACCAAGGATCCACATTCTGCCTTCTCCAGTGACCAGGTTACTGAATAGCACAGTACTGAAGCTGCCAGAGGACTCTCCACCCAGAGCACCCCATGCAGCTCTCCCAGGTATTCGTCGTCACCATGGCATCAAGAATAGCTTAGATTTCACCTCTGAGCTGCACACAGCTGCTGCCAACATGAGCAAGTCCAGTGCTGGGCCAGGATCCCTCCAGGCATCCCAGTGCTGCTCACAGCAAAGCACCCAGGCGGTGCCCAATGACACTTGGCATCGCCTGCAGCTGCACCCTTAGGGCATCTCTCAAACAACAGCACTGAGGCAACTGGTGCAGCAGGGCTGATTCTCCCCCTCCTGGAGGGAAGTGTAAATTTTAACAACGTAACATTAAAAAAAAAAAAAAGCAAAAAAGAAAACCTCAATCAAGTTTCTAGCAAGGGAAGGAATGCCACAAACCAGGTTCGGTGCTACGGATGCTATTCACAGTCCATGCATGAGAGGTTCTGAAGTTGTTTCTAATCCAGTGTCAGCGGCTTCGTATCAGCACAGTCAAAAAGACATCATACAGTGTATTATTCAGGGCCCATCTCCTCTATTTTCTCCACTGTTTGCATTTCAGCTGCACAAGCCAGGCCAAAGCTCAGCAACATCGCTCCGTGCATCACAGCACTGTGCACAACGGAGGTAAAGGCAGAAGGATGGGCTGCCCAGCAGCATCCTGCCCACACCACCACATGGGGTTAATGCAGCCATGCACAGAGCCACCAGCACGCCCTGTCTGCCCTCTAAAAAGAAAAAGGCATCGCTACGTTTTGTGATGCAACGCCCCAGCAAAAAACTCCACGCTGTTCTCAGATTTTAAATGAAAAGAATTAAAAAATGAAAAATAAAAAAATATGATATTGGTTTTGCACAACAGCACTGATTTTGCACGTGCTGCAGGCTGCAAGCTGCAGGGAGTGGGAGTCCCATGCTGCCATCCCAGAGACACAGCAACGTCAATGCTTCATACAATAGTTTTTCTGTGTTCTACCTTGGGAAAAAGAAATGTAATGGACACAGAGTGGTGCAGTTCCTGGGTCCCTGCCCTGTCCCAGCCGACACCTGAGCGGGGCCATCCGTGTGCAGAGCTCCGCGCTGCACTGTGGGTTTTGGGCAGCAGAGCCCAGATGGTGCCTCTGCTCCATGGGCCCCTGTGTGGTGGGGTGGTGCAGCCTCACTTCTTCTCCAGAAAAGGGGCAAAGAGCCCCCAGTCGAAGGCAAGCATGGCCTGGGGATGGGGCCGCTCCTTGGGCTTCTTGAAGTTGTCCTTCTCAGTCCGTAGAGCCCGCAGCACTTCCACAGGTTCCTTCCTGCCTGTGAACTTCTGGACAGCCTCCTCCCTGCAGGGGCAATGGCTGCACTGGGACCAGGGTGCGACAGAGACAGATGGGGACAGGGCTCAGCCCCAGAAGTGAGAGACACTGGAAGGACACTGGGTTACCCTCCCTTCCATCTGGGTTTGGTTTCCCATTGGAAAAGCCACTGGGAGAAGGGGGGGGATGCAAGAATGGGGAGCGGACTGAGGGCAAAAGCAACAGCGTGGGGACAGAGCTGCTCCATCCCATCCCACCCAGTTCAGGACCAACCCACAAGCATGCCCCCTGCACTGATGCTACTTACATGACCCTGAGGAAGGGGTTGTAGAGGAACTCCTCCTGCAGCGTGGAGGGCACCGTGGGCAGATCCTCATCATCCCGCTGCTGTGAGGAACCAGAGATGTTCAAACCAACTCAAACTCAAACTTCTACTGTAGGGAACCTGCTTTGGCAGGGGGGTTGGACTCGATGATCTCTGGAGGTCCCTTCCAACCCCTACAATTCTGTGATTCTGTGATTCTGTGATCTGGCAGCCCCTCACCAACCCACAGGGCACAGCTGCTTACTCTGGCCCACGCAAGCTTCTTCTTCACTGCTTCATTCTCTGGTTCCACTTTCAGAGCAAACTTCAGGTTCCGGACGGTGCATTCGTGGCCACAGAACACCTTCTGCAAGGACAGCATAGAGCACCCAGTGTTATAAGTGCTCCCAAACCCACCGTGCCCCACGTGTCTCCATCATTATTCTGGGGCCTCTCGAAGCTGAGGCTGAGCTTTGAGGAGGGGGGGAGGCGGGGGAGGAAGGGCACTCACCGTCTCCTTGGGCAGATTCCCCAGCACCTGGGTGAAGTTGGCGTACATCTGCTCCGCTGTCCCCTCCAGGAACCGCCCGCAGCCCCCCACAAACAGCGTGTCACCTGCAGGGATAGGGTGAGGCATTGTCCCCAAAGCCAGGGGGGTACAAAGGGTTCACCCCACGGGATCGGCGGGTGCCCATCAAGAGTTACCTGAGAACAGCGCTGGTGCATCCGGGGACCCATCCTCCCACATGAAGTAGCACATGTGGCCCGAAGTGTGGCAAGGAGTGAAGAGGCACCGCACACGGATGGCCCCGAACTGCAGGGATGGAGATAAGTGCTGGGCACGAGATGGGCTCAGAACCGGCCCCCCTCCCGTCCCCAGTGCTCCACACACCGTCAGCTCCTCGTCGGGGGCCACGCGGTGCGTTAGGGCCCCGATGCGCTCATCCGCACCGTACACCCGCAGCCCCGGGCACAGCCTGACCAGCTCCTCGTTGCCCCGCGCGTGGTCCCTATGGTGGCAGAGGGGCAATGGACACCGGGTACCCCCCACAACGGGGCACTGCCCGCGCCCTCCCAGCGTCGGCGCTTACCAGTGGTGATGCGTGCTGAGGACGGCGCGGAGAACAACATCCTCCTTCCGGACGATCTCCAACAGCTGAAAGGGACAAAAGCGGGGCGTGAAGGGAGGAGGTGACAGCGCAGCGCCGGGTCCGCCGCACGGCACGCAGAGGGCAGCGGGGTCAGGGAGAGAAAAACCTCAGCGCGGCCGGGACGAAGGAAGGCGCTGCGCCCGAGCGCTCGGGGCGGGGCAGGAGGGGCCGATGGCTCTTTATGGCCGATGGCACTTTACGGCCGCCGTTCTTCCCACAGCCCGCCGCCTCCAGCTCTCAAAGCCCCGAGAGGAAGGAAACGGCCAAGCGAGAGCGAGGAACGCGCGAACAGAAGCGATACCGCCGGCCGGCATAGCGCGCAGCTCCGGCGCCTCTCACCCGTTTGGGGACGGCTGCGTCCACCGCGACCGCATCCCGGGTGCTCTCCTCGATCACCAGGTACATGTAGTTGTCCTCCAGCACCGAGATCACCTTCACCTTCATGTTCCGCACAGCCCGCGGCTCCACCGCCGCGCACCCACGCGGGGCAGGACGCGCGGAACACCGCCCCCACCTGCGGGCAGCGCCGCGCGGCGCAGTGCGGGCAGTGGGGCGGAGCTCGGAGCTTCCTCCTCCTCCCCCCCCCCGTTCTTTCGCTCCCTCCCTTCTTCCCACTGTCATTCCCTCTTTACTTCCTTTTGTTCCCTCCTTCCATCGCTTCATTCTTCCCTCTTTTCTTCAGCCCCGCTATTTCCTCCTTTTCCTTTCCTTCTTCCCTCCCCTCCTTTTCCTTCTTCCTCCCATTCCCTCCCCTTCTTCTCTCCGCTCCCCCAGCGAAGGGGTTGCAGTGCAGTACGTGCGGTTCCCCCCCCCCCGTGGACCCCCAGGGCTGAGGCAGTAATTGAATAAAGCCTCACGTGTTCCCAAATGTGCCACACTGGGATTTAGAAGAAAGCTGCTATAAGTTGGCTGACTTGAATCGCTGGTACAAAGAAATAAGAGCAGAAGCTGGAGATGAACCTTTTCCAGACTGCCACACTGTTCACAGCTGTGTTTATTTCCTCAGCCACCAGTACAGTCATGCTTAGTTGTAGCAGCACAGAATTTAAGAAGTCAGTAACATTTTAGTACCTTTTTTTTTTTTCTTCCTGAAATACATTTAAAAATCATTATTTTTTTTTAAACAAATAAAGAAGTGGTGCTCCACCAAACCCTGCTCACACACTGCCACTTTAGACCAGGGTCACAGCGTGGAATGCAGGTGGTAATGAGCTCAGTACAGCACTGCAGGTTAAGCATTAACCACAGCAGCACGCTGCAGCTGCTCCCACAGGAACCTCCCAGCAGACAAATCCCTCCTTCCTTTCTGTGTACGGCTACAAGTAAAGTGCAGCTCACCCTCAGGAGCACGCAAGCAGGCTTCAGCTAACAGAGAAAGGGCAGAAGCAACAGTGCAATCTCTGCATGGAAAAGTTACTGCAGCTTTACGCCACTGGGAAGAGGTTTAACGCAGCCAGAAGCAGCACTTTGAATAAGCAGCAGCATGGAAGGAAAGTTTAAATTTCAGTCGGCAGTTACTGCATTTTATTCCTGTTTTAAATGGTCGCTTCAAACAGCCCCAGTGCCACAGTCTGCATTGCCATCAGGTGCCCACAGCAACAGCAGGGATTTGTTCCTAGGTCTCAAGGTCCATGCCACCCCCACTCCAGCCCTGAGCTGCGTACCAACACCTGTAAAATGAGCTGCATGTGACACGTGTGACAGCTTGAGAGCCAGCAGAGGGATAAATATTCTTCATCATAATATAAATATGCTGTAGAATATCTCAACAAGGGCAAAGTGCTTTTTTTTTTTTCTTAATTAAAACAAACTAGAAACCTAAATAGGACTGTCTGAACCACGACAGATTTTTGAAACATCTGAACAGTCTAAGTTACTATTAGATGACCATAAAGTGACACAGGCAGAGTGCTCAGTCCTTCGGGACACGGAAGTTGTCCTTCTCTTTCCTGATGGCCCCCATGGTGCGGATGGGGTCGGTCTCCCCAGCGTGCTCCTGAACTGTCTTCTCCCTGCCAGGAGAGAACACCCAGAATGGTAAATGCAAAGCCTGCAAGATAAAATCTTGGCCATGAAGTCACTGCTACCACATTTTGCCTGCATCATGGGGATAAGCTTCATTTAAGACCAAAAACTCAGGACTTTGGCGTGAGCTTATCAGCTCCTGCACCTTGAGTGGCATCATACCACACCCATACCAAGTCCCGTGTGATGAAGGAATATTATCACACAGCAAGGTTTGTTCTAACTGCTGGGTCAGAGATGCTCACCACAACTCCCCACGTTTCACAGCACCAAGCCTCTGCCAGGACAAGTGTTTTACCCAACTTCCTTTAGAATGCAAGAGTTTTAAGGAGGGTCTTGAGAGCATCAGAATGTGTGAATCAGGAGAGTAACTCATACTTATGGCTCTTTCTCCTCACCTTCCCCACATCCCCCCCTCCAAACAAGACTCAGAAGGGCCATTCCCACACGTCCATACCTCACTCGCATGAAGGGGTTGTACGTAAACTCTTCTGCAATGGTGGAGGGTATGGTTGGCTCTCCACTGTCATATTTGGCCTAGAAGAAGGAAAACAGTTCTGCCTGATGAGGAATGTTTTGGAGAACAAGAAGTGTCCTATGTATGAGCTACAAAGGGTAAAGCATTCCATCTAACTGCCTGAACTGCTCTTCAGCCACACCATTGGACAGTCATGATCAAGGCACTGAGAAACCTGGGTCACAGGTCCAGGGACAAAGCTGATCCTCTTAGAGGGGGAGAAATTCAGCTTCAGCCTGTAATGGTACCAAGACATTCCCAAGAAGGGTCACATCTCCACAAAAAGCAAACTGTGCTTGCTATGCTGCTCACACCACCCTGTTCTCCAGCACATTGTTCCCCCGATCGCACAACTGTACTGTCACCTCTCATCTCAACTCCCTCTCCTCAGCTTCTCTTTTTTCTCCACACTGTCCCCTTTTTTCTACCTCCTCAGAGAGGCTCCAGCAGCACCCAGCAGGTTGAGGGAAAGGATGAACATACTCACCTTGGCCCAAGCAAGCTTTTCCTGGATGCTGACATTGTTGGGTTCAACGTGTCGAGCAAATTTGAGGTTGTTGATAGTGTATTCATGACCACAGTAAACTCTCTAGGAAGAAAAAGTCCCGCATGGTATGAAGGTAGACTGGGTTCCATCAGTGTTATCATACACAGCAGGAACAGAACCATCCTGCCAGAACACACCAGATGCAGGCAAAATGCCAGGAGCTATGTGCCATCTTATAGGTAAGCCTCATGAAAGAACCCAGCTGTCCCATCTCTGTCCCAGCCTTTGTTTCAATAAGCACTCTCTGCTCTTCCCCCATAAAACACAAGTGTATTTGGAGTACGTATTTCATTCTCAAAGGAATCCAGCTACTCAGCATCAAAGGCAGTAAGCATGCGTTCCTTCAGTGCATGAGAGATGTTCCCATCGAACAACAGCATTATTGGGAAGGCAGTTTTCTTGAGGCCTGCAGTAGCTTCTGACAGGTTAACTTACTAGCACAAAAGTTTCGTACCGTTTCAGGATCTAAGCTGCCCAAGATCTCAATCAGTGCTCTGTACATTTCCTCAGGGGTTCCCTCGAAGAATTTCCCACAGCCAGCCACGAACAGCGTGTCACCTGCAAGCAAGGTGTGACATGGCATCAGGGCCAGACACAGTTCACAGCCACACTGTGGAAGTCAGGCTAGCTGCACTGGTAATAAGGAATGAATGCCCATCCAGAGCCAGGAGCACACAGGCAGAGGGGGAGCTTATTTCTCTGCAACACAGACTGCCAGTGATGTAACCTCCCAACTCCTCACCTGTAAAAACTGCAGGTGGCTCGGAGCTATTTGGCTTAGTCACATAATAACAGATGTGTCCAGAAGTGTGACACGGCGTACAGAGGCATTTCACATTAAGAGATCCCACCTGAGAAGAAGGCAGAAGACTAGAGCTTAGGCTACTGTCTGGTAGCATTTGTACCATTAGAAAAGAATTGCAACTTATTACAATGGCCTGGCAGTCCTACAGGCAAATTCTCACGCAGCTGGCCAGTAAACATCAGCTCTTTTCTTGGGAGAGTCCAGCACAAGAATTTTATGGTAGGGACTTGGAAGGGTGCTGTTTCCTCTAACAGGTGTTGTTATAAAGAGAACTGCCAGATTCCTTCATTTGCATGCAGAGTGACTCAGCGTCTGGTCGGCAGCAACAGCAAATAGATCCAGAGCAACACAAAATCCTAAACAAAGTTAATCAAGCGTAAAAAGCTCCAAACAAAAATGAAGCTGAGGGGCAGAAGTGGAAGAAGCTCAGGAAAATGGAGGAATTACACACATTCACGAGGATCATTCCCTGACAGCCTTAATTTGCAAATCTTCCCATGTTTTTCTGCACTCCCTTCTTTGCTGCTGACCAGCCCTAGAGAGGCTGATGCACCGCAGGACCAGCAGTGCCACTCACACCAGCCTGCACATGTCACAGCAGTTTATGCAACCTGCCAGCTCATCTACAAACAAACAGCGACATTTCAGCAAGCTCTGCCACTGTAGCTCTGGAAAAGCAATGCAGGCAGCTCGCCCTGCTGGCCCACTTTCTCTTCAGCCTGTATTTCAGCCTTCATTCAGAGAGGACCGCTTGCAATTCTTCAGTGCTAACCAGGCTGTAAGCAGAACACAAGCCCTGTGCTTTCATGCTGGGGATCTCACTACCCTGCTTAAGGTAGCTATCCAAGGAGAGACAGACACCCAGCATGTCCCTGGCAGTACAGGTGTCTGAGCAATACCAATGCTACCATCAACAAACTACCACCAGCTAGAAGGAGACAGAGGGGTTATGGTACACAGAGCTAGAAAAGGGGGAAAGATATAGTTAAATCACCAACCACCTTTGAGAGACATTAAAAAGAAAAAATAAAAAAGCTGTGACACAAATGGAAGATGTCCCCAGCCAAATCCAGAAGCTCACTCCCTTTACCTTGAGCGATGTAAGGTGAGACACTTTCTGTGTCAATGCTCCAACTCTGCTGTCTCCCCCATACACATGCAATCCTGTCTCCAGCTTTACAAGCTTCTCATTTCCTCCAGCATGATCCCTGGAAGGTCAGAAAAATGGATTTTGGAAAGGATGAAGACAAATTGATTGCAACTGCAATGGTAATGTCCAGATGATCATCAGTCTCCTAGTATGCAGACATCTAACACTGTACTCAGAAGGCATGCTACATCAGCACTAGTAGAGATAGTTTCTTTAAGTGCCAGTTAGTAAATACTGGTGGCTGAAGAGCAGCAAGCTCACGAGAGATTTCAGCATAGGACCTTGGTCACCATCTCTTCTGCAGCTCCCCTCAATTTCACACCTAGTTGGGAAATATCAAATTTAGAGTATCACAGCCAACTGCCCATTAACCACAACACTGAGAGAGCAGGCTAATTGGGATATATGCAGTTCAGGTACTCAGGTTCAACACTGCAAAACTGCTAAAGCTTTATGTCTCTGTCAGAGTTAATGTGCAAACCTGCTAATGCTCCCGCAACTGTTGACTATGCTTTAGAGGCATGTCCTAGCAACTCACTGCAAGTGTGCTGCCTTCTGCACTCCACACATACACTTATTTCACTGACCAGCTGGAATAAGTCATCATTTTAAAGCCTAAATGCACTAACACAGAGAACTTGCAGCCTACAGAATGTACCTGGTCACAGGAAGAATTGCTCTTAAGAAAGTCTGGCTTGATCCCAAGCTTTCCCATCTTTGCTGTGCACTCAGCTACTTCATGCTGATTTCTCTGCACTTCACTCTCTGGTGAGCTTTGGCACAAAAAAGGAGCAGACCATGCTTTCTCAGAGCTATTCAGTGGCTGCAGACAAACAGCAGTTGGCATAGCTTAAGCATGCCCAGTCAAGCACACGGACATGCTCTAAGATCTTGATATGAGCAACTTCAAAGCAGCCCTGTGTGTTCACTCATGGACCCATACACACTGCACAGATATGCCAATACAGCAGATAGTTACCAGTGATGGTGTGTGGTCAGGACGCTGGTCAGCTTCACGCCATGCTTTTTGACTGCATCCAAAACCTGCAGACGCAGAGCACATCAAGAACACGACAACTCGCATGGACTCCCTTAAACAACACTTAAACTACCTGCTGCCTGCTCTGTATGCAACTGCTACGAGGTTTAAGAGCCACACCTCCATGCAAACGTCCTGCTGACTATGCAGAGAACTCATCCCTCATCTTGCAGTCATTACACCTCAGGACACAAGCACTCTGATCCAACTGGGCTGCAACTAAACTCTCAGCCCTATTTCCTCTTTTCTGCACACAAACAAACTAAAAGGGAAAACAAAATCAGGTCAGTAACTCCTGAAGGCAGGGAGAAGGTGTTTGAGCTCAGAAGTTCGGCACCCGTGAAGCCCTGTCAGTACACAGGAGATGCTAATATTTCCTGACTTTCCTCCAAGCCTGAGTCACCCTGTGACTAATTCTCTTGTGTACGTGGCAGCATGGAAGTATTCTAGCAGCGCCCACTCCCAGGACAGCAGGCAGCGTTACCTTCTGGGGCTGCACAGGGTCCACTATTGCAGCCTCCTTCGTTTCCTCATCAATGAGGAGGTACATGTAGTTGTCAGTGAGCGCTGGAAGTATCTCCACCTTCATGTTGGCTTGTGTGACCGTCTTTGACTTCCTCTGCTCGTGCTCTGTGTGCAGGAAGACAGCTCGTACCTGCGCTGGACCTGGAGACCAAAAGCAAAATTCAGGTCGTGGTGCTCTGCAGCTTCACAGAGAGGGATGGGACATTGCCAGCAGGTGTGTGTGGACATGCAGGCAAAGTGCTGTACCTTGATCAGGGAGAAGATTTCAAGGGGCAGGAAAACAGAACAGAGAGAGAGCAGTTGGACAAAGGTCAGCCTGGGACAGTGACTTTGCAAAAAAAAAAAAGAAAAAAAAGCACAAAATGTTATGTCACAACCAAAAGGAATTAAAAAAAAAAAAAAAGAGGAGAAATACAAACATTGCTAGAACAGAAGTATCTGGTTCATTAATTGGGGAAATCACAGCTTACACAGTGCTGTGGAGAGAAGATGGGCTCTCTGCACAGCCAGCCAGATAGCAGGCGTGCACTGCAGGGAGCTTCCTCGTGATGGGCTGCCTTGATGCAACAGCAGTGCTTCCCTATTTGCTTTTGGTTAAATGTTTAATAGAATCCAAGGAGCAAATCTGATTTCAGATGCAAATAACTTGGACTCCCCTTTTCCCCCCACTTTTCCTCATAGATACAAAGTTCTTAAAGAAACAACGCAGTCACAAGAAGCTCTGCCATAAAGAAAAGAAGGGAACAAAGAGGATGATGCCTTTGATGGCTGGGGACCACACAGCCCTGGGTCCATGCTCATACAGAACAAGAGGCAGCAGTCCATGACAGAAGTCAGTTTACACCCACAGCACAGCACTGAAGGTGCCTGCACTGGTTTGGCTCAGCTCCTGTCTCATTTTGCACTGCTGACCCTAAGGCTCCAACACTTGGTGCTCAGGGAGAGGTCACCACACTGCTAATCAGCCTGGCCCACTCTCCAAGCAGTCTCTGCTCACCTCTGATAAGAGAAAAGGGGCCTGGCAGGGTGACCCAGCCAACACAGTGAGCCCAGAGCTCTGCAGGGACACAACCACAGTGCTGCAAAGCTGAGAGCACAGCTTGGAGCCGCACGTGCAGCAGATGCATCAAGGCCCCTCTGATCCTGCCCAGGACATCCTCCCCTCCTGCACCCACCAGATGACTTGTTTTGTGGGAAGGTAAAATGAAATGCAGCGCTGAAAGGAATCCTTAAGCACAACAGCATAGGCATGCACTGGGGGTTTGACACAGTGGGCACGTAGTGCTGAAGGAAGCATCCATACCTGCCAAAGTTCCTTTGGAGGAGAAGTGTACTTCCAAAAATAATAATTAAAAAAAGACAAAAAAAAAAAAAACAAACCCTTACTATTGCTTGGTAGGAAAAGAACCCAAACAATTGCTCCTCAGCTTCTCCCTAACTGAAAGCACTTTTGCTTTGGACAAGTTGCCTGTTTGTGTACCAGATGCAAATTGGAAAAGGAAAATTAAAACACAAGAAAGCAGAAACTTAACTTCGAGTTGAAGGAATTACTCACATACTTCAAATGCCTTCTTCCTATGAACCATTTCTAACCTTGGCCACAATCCTGAAGTCTCTCAGCATGTTTAACTCACAATTCTGGCATAACAAACAAACAAACTACACCACAGAAGGAAATGGTTTTCTAAAATGCGATTTCAAGAAAAGAATGAGAAAGCATCCATGCAACATGAAACCTATTCTCAAGTCCCATCTGCAGCTGAGCTGCACCCTTCAGTCTGATCCAAAGCTCTCACGCACACCCAGCGCTGCTCTTACGAGCAGCTCACACCCAGTTCTGCTCATGGCAGCTCCCCAGCAGCACACAAGCCCTGCACCTAACACAGACAGCAAGTCAAGATCACATGCCCGTCCAAAACTATAAGGTCCACTGGCTCCATTTCCAGTCAGTTTTGCTCCATGTCCCCAGCAGTGCCCTTTGGATCGCATAGCTCTGTTCAGGGTGGGTTGCCAGCACAGCCTGACTCTTGGAGGGGCAGAGATTGCAGATGGGCAATGTTAATGCTATCACAGCAATGCACACACGCAGGAGGCTGAAGGCAGGGAGGCAGCAGGTAGCTAAGCAATAGGTTCCTCCAGAAAAATGGTTGCCTTGTGCATTTTGTTCATAGTATTTTGTTTTACTGTTTTACTACAAAAAAAGGAATGGAAAATTCCTGTTCCAAATGAGGCAGTCACACACACTGACTGCACACCCATTCCTAGGTGTTTATCTCTGCACTGCCCCACAAGTAGAAACACCACGTTTGCTTTCTATACACCCTGCACATAGATGTGTTTGGACACCAGGTGAGCTGCACCTTATGGAACTCCTGCTTGCTGCCCCTCAGGCAGCCTGCAGCACCCAGCCAGGTTCAGTGCAACGCATGCAGGGTGTGCATCCGCCTACAGCAACTCTGAGCTGCCTGCTCCTCGTGTCAGCACACTCAGGGACAAGGTAGCAGAGGGGTTTTAAGGCTGACAGCAGCTGCAGTGAATTCTGGCTCATTAAGGCCACGTTTTACATACAGAGGCGCTGCGAGGCTGAGCTCTGATTCAAAGAGACACTTTCAGAATTCAGGCCCAGATGTAAATGCACAGCCTAGAATTTTTTTTTTCCACTTTTTTTTTTTTTTCCTTACATTACTAATTCAATTTCCCATCTAACCCAGTTAAAATTCGACACCTTATCCCTCAACCCCCAATCCTCCAGAGCAACCAGCAGCACTCGGGCGGCCCAGCAACCCTCCAGGATCCTCCCACATCACTTACTAGCGCAAAAAAACCAACCCCACCACCACCAACAGCGCGAGGCTGCAGCTAAGCAGACACTGACCTACTTGGGGCTGTGAGTCAGCTTAAAACGGCGCACCCCTGAGCAGCGAAAGAAGAGAAACCATCAGCAAACTGCGCTTTGCTAGGAGGAGCGCCGCCAGCCCCCCGGCCGCCCACACCGAATCCCCGCAGCCCCTCCACGTCCCCGTAGGAGCAGGTGGGCGCCGGGCGAGGCGCTCCGCCCGCCCCACGTACCGGCTCGGAGCAGGGCCCCGGCTCCCAGCGCAGCCAGGGCGGTGCCGAGGCTCCGCCAGCCCCCGCCAACCATGGTGCGCTCGGCAGCGGCGCGCCCCGCTCGGCCCCGGTTACCTTCGCTCCCCGCCCAGCGGCCGGGTCCGGGGAGGGGGGGAGGCGGGCGACCCCGCTCGGCCCCGGCCCGGAGTGCAGCGGGGGCGGTGCTGAGCTGCCACCCGCCCCCTGTCCGCCCAGGCCTCGCTTATTATTATTGGGTTTTTTAATTAATTAATTTGTTGGGGTTTTTTTGCAGCCAAGCGATTCGCTAACCCGGCTCAAAGGGGCTGGGTAAGGAGGCTCACGCCTGTGCTGGGGGAGGGAGTGAAAGGCAGCAGGAAGGAAGGAAGGACGGAAGGAAGGAGAGCGGGGCCGGAGGAGGAGCGCGGAGCTCGGCGGGGTTTGTGCCTCCGGTACGGCAAGGGCGGCCCAAGGGCACCCGGAGAAGGAGAGCGGCGGGGCTGATGGCTTCCTCCAGGCCCCTGGCACGCTTCTGGGAGTGGGGCAAGAATATCGTCTGCGTGGGGCGCAACTACGCCGAGCACGCCAAGGAGTTGGGGAACGCGCTGCCTGCCGAGCCCCTCTTCTTCCTCAAGCCCTCTTCGGCTTACCTGCGGGAAGGCTCGCCCATCCTGCGGCCCTACTACTGCACCGACCTGCACCACGAAGTGGAGCTCGGGGTGGTGATCGGGAAGAGAACCCGGGCCGTGTCCCAGGAGGCTGCTATGGAGCACGTGGCAGGCTATGCCCTGTGTCTGGACATGACCGCTAGGGACGCGCAGAAAGAGTGCAAAAAGAAGGGTTTGCCCTGGACCTTGGCCAAGGCCTTCAGCACATCGTGCCCAGTCAGTGAATTTGTGCCCAAGGAGAAGATCCCAGACCCTCACAAGCTGAAGATCTGGCTCAAGGTGAATGGACAGTTGAGGCAGGAGGGAGAGACCTCCTCTATGATCTTCTCTATCCCGCACCTGATCAGCTACATCAGTGAAATCATCACCCTGGAAGAAGGAGATTTGATTCTGACAGGATCTCCCAGCGGAGTCGGGTCTGTAGAAGAAAATGATGAGATAGAGGCAGGGATAGGTGACATCCTGTCCATGCGGTTCAAGGTGGCCCAGCAAACACGCCGGACCTAACCAGCAGCTGGGCTGGGACCTCTGTCTGCAGAGGAAGAGCCTTTTGGGGAGCACTGCGTGAACAAAGAGATGCACTGCACCCACTGTCCTGTGTGTTAAATTTACATGGCCTGAGCATCTCCTGGACTCCTGGTTATCAAAGCTGTGCTGTAGCTCATGAAGACCTGTGGCTAAAACAACCCCCATTTCCACTTTGGCCTCCAGAGAGGCTGTAAAGCTGAGGTTAGTCCAAGAGTCCAACCCAGCCTGAGGCAGCTGGTTGATACCTAAACTGTACCTTGGAACTTTGTATTCAGCTGTGCTGGGGAAATAAGAACAGTAGGAAATACAGCAGCAGGACTATCGCTGTGTGCTCTTCTGTTCACGCTTTGAGATTTGCCAATGTCCTGTCTCAAAATAAACATAAGAACTGAAGTATTAAAATGGTGATGTACAGAAAGTGATCTGTGGTCTTGGTAAGGCCTGCAGCTGTCCGGCTTCTGTGTCCCAGCCACACTTGGATTCCTTGCACGGGTGCAATAAAGTGGCAAGAATGCACTTTATAAAGTGGAAAAATAAAAGTTTAACCTGAGGACTGGAATCCACTCAGGGTGTGCAGCTATGTGCTCTGGTGACTGTCGGTGTGGGGTCTTTCCAGCTTGGGGTGCTGCAGGGGCTCTCATGGGTGATCAGGCAGCAGTGAGAGGTGCTCACTCCTGGCTGCGGCGGCCAGCACTGGCTCCTTGTCTTCACTGGGAGCTGCAGTAGGAAAGAACTGCAATGAGACACAAGAAAGCCTGTGAGAAAGGAGTCTGGAAAATGCTGCATATGTTTTTATCATTACAGACTAAAACTGTAGATATTTGGTGGTTTTAACTGTAATTTTTACAGTAGGCCACCATTTTGAAAGTTGTACAACAGATTCACATGTTGGGAGGGGCTCATTTCAGTGGCTTTATTTCCAAGATTTAGGGTTATATTTTGCAAGTACATGAGCTTCGAGGCAGTGTGCTTAAAGAAGGATGTAGCTGCTTTTCACATTTCTTTGGAAGATATCCTAAGGCACAACAGTTGTGCATGCCCCCACAACACCACCTCCACCAGGCACTAATCCTGCCAACATGTACATTGCAGATTGCTGCCTTTTAGCTTCAGTGAGTGGCTTAAAAGCACATGTAGAAGGTCTCTGTTTGATAATTATAAATACTATGGCCTAAGGAACTGAGGCCAGCTGAAACACAACATTTAGCCATGACATCTGAATAGAGCAAGCCCCTGGCTTTTAGAAGTCAAAGTGCCCCTTGTATGCTTTGAAAGTGAGAACTGTTGGAAATCAACTAATATAGAAATAGATTAACAATCAAACCAACCCCTGGAGAATGGGAAAATGTACACACCTGGGTTCTTTATGTTCAGCCAAGAACATCTATGCTGGAGACGAATCTTGTCATGTCTGCCACCTACAGTCTAAGCCTGAGTATCTGATTGTCAGACGTCCCTGCTGATTTCTTTGTTCTAAGAAAACTTAGTCTGCCCTGGAGAAAAGAGACTTGCAAAAATCTTTGCTATTTCCCTTGCATGCCTCTGCAGTTGCCAAAAGCTTTGTGTTTGGACTCACCAACATATACCACAAACGCATCAGTGTTTGAAAGTGGGCCTTTATTTACTTCAGTAACACAGAAGTAGCACAGCAGTCAAAAAATAAAGTTCAAGAGATCTGTCTGGTACTAATTGTCATTTCTGATTTTTCAAAACTTTCCCATAGTTCCCAAACTGAGTGAACAAGGCTTCCACCTCCCTTCTAAAGGGTTGAATTCAGTAGAACTAACTTTTAGGCTGTGGACCTACTACACTTTTCCAAGTATAATCATCTTAAAAACACCAC